TTATTTATTTATTTATAGAGAGAGAGTGCACAAGTGGAGGGACAGAGGGAGAGAGAGAGAAAGTATCCCAACCAGGCTCCATACTCAGGACAGATCCCGACACGGGGCTCCATCTCATGACCCCTGAGATCATGACCTGAGCCCAAATCAAGAGATGGATGCTTAACTGACTGAGCCACCAGGCACCCCAAGAATTGCTTTCATAATTTCCTTTTCAGTTTGCTCATTGTTAGTGTATGGAATTGCAACTGGTTTCTGTATTAACTGTATTCTGTATTAACTTTGTATCCTGCTACTTCGCTGAATTCATTTATTAAATAGTTTGGTAGCATCTTTAGGATCTTCATATAAGATCATATCATCTGGAAACAGAGATTTTACTTTTTCCTTTCCACTTCGGATGCCTTTTATTTCTTTTTCTTGCCTAGCTGCTCTAGCTAGAACTTCTATTACTATGTTGTATAGAAGTAGTGAAAGTGGGCATCCTTGCCTTATTCCTGATCTTAGAGGAAAAGTTTTCAGTCTTTCACCATTGAGTGTTAAGTTTACTGTGTTGTTCATGTACATTGGTCTGTTGTTTTCTTTTCTTGTAGTTTTTGCCTGGCGTAAGCCAGCCTCATAGAATGAGTTACAAAGTGTACTCTTCAATTTTTTTGAAAATGTTTGAAAAGGTATTCTTCTTTAAATGTTTGGTATAATTCACCAGTGAAACCATCAGGACCAGCACTTTTCCTTGTTGGGAGATTTTTTTTTTTTTATTGCTGACTCAATCTCCTTACTAATAAGAAGTCTATTCAGATTGTCAATTTCTTGATTTAGTCTTGGTAGATTTTGTGCTTCTAGAAATTTGTCCATTTCATCTAGATTATTCAATTTTTCAGCATACAATTGTTCATGTATTCTCTTATTTATTTCTGTAGAATAGTAATGTCCCCACTTTCATTTCTGATTTTAGTAATTTGAGACTTCCTTTTCTCTTAGTCCATCCAGCTAAAGATTTGTCAATTATGTTGATCATTTCAAAGAACTAACTTTTGGTTTCATTGATTTTCTCTGCCATTTTTCTACACTCTTATTTCATTGATCTCTGCTCTAATCTTTATTTTTTCCTTTTGCTAGCTGTGGCTTTAGCATATTCTTTTTCTAGTTCAAGTTGTAAAACTTTGTTGTTTTGAGATCTTTCTTGTTTCTAATGTAGACATTTATAGCTATAATCTTCCCCCTTAGCACCACTTTCAATGCAACTCATGAGTTTTGTATGTTGTTTTGTTTTCATTTGTCTAAGTATTTTCAAATTTCCCTTGTGATTTCCTCTTCAATCTTTTGGTTGTTTAAAAGTGTGGGGGTTTTGTTGTTGTTGTTGTTAAAATTTTGTTTGAGAGAAAGCAAGAGAGCACAAACAGGGGGAGTGGCAGGCAGAGGGAGAAGCAGGCTCCCCACTGAGCAAGGAGCTGGATGCAGGACTCAATCCCAGGACCCCGGGATCATGACCTGAGCCGAAGGCGGGTGCTCAACGGACTGAGCCACCCAGGCATCCCTAAAAGTGTGTTTTATATTGCCCTTCCCTACCCCATTCATCCCTTCATTTTTTTGCTGTGTGTGTGTATGTCTGTCTGCCTGTCTGTCTGTTGGGGAACCAGGCATTAAAGATTAAGGTATTCAAAAACACCTGCATATACAGGGGAAATTACAAAATGATTGTGCATGCCCAAGGAAAAAAGACAAGATTTAAGATTTAAATCTACATCCTGGGCTGATCCTGGGCACAGAATGAGTATAACAATAAAAAATAAACAAAAATAACAAAAAACAGCAAACCCTGGGGAAGGGAAAGAATCTGATTTTCAGAGTTATCACATTATTAGATTCAAATGTCCAGTGTTCGACAAAATATCACATGGCAAAGAGACAGGAAAAGCATTACTCATCTGCAGATGATCTCTGATGATGACTTGTTTGTGACAATTGTCTTCTCGCTGCTTCCAAGGTTTGCCCTTTTTCTTTGGCTTTTTAAAATCTGATTATAATGTGTCTTAGAGCGGGTCTTTTTGAGTTCATCTTAGTTGGAGTTTGTTGAGCTTCTTGGATGCTTATATTCATGTCTTTCTTCAAATTTGGGAAGCTTTCAGCCATCATTTCATTAAATATTCTCTCTGCCTCTTTCTTCTTCTTTGAGAGTCCCATAGTGCAAATGTTGGTGCTTTTGGAGGTTTCCCATAGACATCCAGGTTGTGTTTGCTATTTTTCATCTTTCTCTATTACTGAACCTCAATAATTTCCATTGTCTTTTCTTAAAGTACTGATTTATGTTCTGCCTGCTCAAATCTGTTTTGATTCCTTGTGATTTTTTTAAAAGATTTTATTTATTTATTTGACAGAGACACAGCGAGAGAGGGAACACAAGCAGGGGGAGTGGGGGAGGGAGAAGCAGGCTCCCCGCTGAGCAGGGAGCCCAATGTGGGACTCGATCCCAGGACCCTGGGATCATGACCTGAGCCGAAGGCAGACACTTAATGACTGAGCCACCCAGGCGCCCCCTTGTGATTTTTTTTATTTCAGTTGTACATTTCAGCTCCAGAATTTCATTTTGGTTTCTTTTTAGATTTTCCATCTCTTAATTGATACTTGCCTTTTGTTCTCACATTGTTTCCTTGACTTCCTCTACATCTTCCTTTAGTTCTTTTAGCATCTTTAAGAACATTATTTTAAGGTCTTTGCCTAATATATCTGCCAATAAGTCTTTTTCAGGAACAGATTCTGTTGTATTTTTTTTCCTTTGAATGAGTAAATATCCTGTAAGACACTTGAGCCAGATGGGGAAGGTGCGATAATAATGGCTCCCTGCCTCTTTGTACCTCTATGTTCAGAAGCAGCAATCCGTGATCAGATGAAAGATTCCTGATATTTGGAGGGCAGAATCCTTGTTTGCTTGGCTCCCACAAGCTGTGTGCAAGTTGGTCCAGGAATGGCTGCCTGCCAAGTGGCTGGGGGTTGGCAATGTGTAGCTATTACCATCCTAGAACTGAAATCAAGTAAAATTTCCTATCTAAACCTTCCCCTGAAAGTTGCAAGCCTTCAACAGGTTCCAGAGTTCCAAAACAGTTACATCAGATGATTCTGCCTGTACGATTGTTGTCCAGGCAGAGAAACAGATTCCTGATGCTTTTGACTCCACCGTCTTCCTAGAATCCTCCTTAGTCTTTTGTTGGTGGTGGTGGTGGTGTTTTCAAGAAACAATTTCAAAAACTTGTTTTTCTATTCTATATTTTGTTCATCTCTGATCTTTACTATTTCTTTCCTTCTGCTGGCTTTGGGTTTAATTTCTCCACTTCTGAAGGACAGTTTTGGTGGATACAGGATTCTTGACTTACAAGTTTTTTGTTGTTTTTTTTTTTCCTTTCACCACTTTGAATATGCTAACCCATTGATTCTCGCCTCCAAAGTTTCAGGTGAGGAATCTGGTAATAGTCTTATCGAACATCCTTTTTATGTAATGAGTCACTTCTCTCTTGCTGCTTTCAAGATTCTGTTTTTGTTTTCAACAATTTGTTTGTCAATATTATCGATTTTTTTTCAAAGAACTATCTTATTTTCTCCACTGTTTTTATCTTTTCAATTTCATTGATTGATTCTCTTGTTTCCTTCCTTCTGCACCTCCAGGTTAATTTTGCTCTTCTTTTTATAGGATCTTAAGTTGAAAGGTTAGATTATTTTCCTGAGACTTTCCCTCTTTCTAATGTAAGAATTTGGAGCTATAAAATTTCCTGTTAGTACTACATTCACTACATCCCACATATTTTGGTATATTTTGCTTTCATTTTCATTCAGTCCAATGTGCTTTATTACCCTTTGAGAATTCTTTAACTCATAAATTATTTAGCAAATTGTTGTTTATTTTCCAACTGTTCCAAGATTTTCCTGTTATCTTTCTGTTCCTGATATCTAGTTGATTCCATTGTAGTGAGAATACACACAGTATGATTTCAATTATTTTAAATACGTTGAAGCTCTTTTTATGGCCCTATTGTGATAAATGGTCTATCTTGGTAAACTGTCCATGAAAACTTGAAATGAATGCCTATTCTGCTATTGCTGTATTGTGTGTGTTGGACCCTGCTGATTGATAGTACCATTGAGTTGTTATATATTGTTGCTGATTTTCTGGGTACTTTAATCAATTGCTGGAAGAGGGGTATTGATGTCTCCACCATAATCATGGATTAGTCTATTTCTCCTCCCAGTTCTATATTTGCTTTACATATTTTGCAGCTCTGTTGTTTAGTGCATACAAATTTAGGATTGCTATGTCTTGATAGCCTGACCCTTTTTATCATTATGAAATGCTCCTCTCTCTGTAATTTTCTTTGCTCTGGAATCTACCTGACAATACTACTGCTTTCTTTTGATTACTGTCTGCATTGCATATCTTTTTCCAACTTTTTATTTTCAGCCTACCTATACCATTACTTTTGAACTGAGTTTTCTTGTGGGGACTATATATTTTTATCCACTCTGTCCCTCTCTTGGAATAGGCATATTCTGATATTTACATTTAATGTAACTTTTGATATACTAGGACTTCAGTGGGGTTTTTGTTTCATTTTGTTTTCTGTTTCTTTCCTCTGTTCTTCATCAGTCTGTCTTCTTTTTCTGCCTTCCTTGTACCTTTTGTCAGAATTCCATTTTGTTCTATCAATAGTCCTTTTGAATTTATCTCTTTGAATAGATATTTAGCGATTGCTCTCTAGGTTTTTTATTACACATACATAACTTTTCACAGCACGCTGGTGTCAGCATTTTACCAGTTCAAGTGAAATGTAAAAACATTGCAATCCTTAAAGTTCCTTTATCCTGTGTCTTTTATAATACAGTTGTCCTAAAGATTCCCCCTGCATGCTTTGAGATCCATATCAGACAATGTTACAATTTTTGCCTCAACCATTAAATTTAATTTAGAAAACTCAACAAGAGAAAAAAAAAATCCCATCGTGTTAACTTACATATTTACTTTCTACTGTTCTATATCCCTTTCTGATGTTTCAAGATTCCTTCTTTTATCATTTCCTTTCAAACTGAAGAAACTCCTTTAGCTTTTTTTTTTTTCGAATGGGCAGATCTTCTGGTGACAAATCCTCTTAGTTTTCCTTCATCAGAGAATGTCTTGATTTCCACTTTATTCCAGAAGAATATTGTCACTGTATAGAGAATTCTGAGTTACAGTTATAAACAACAGAGATTTATTTCTCACAGTTCCAGGTTGTTGGCCTCCTCTGACATCACACAAGCACAAGAAGGAAGACCCCCCACCTTATTACAGCCAAGTGAAGATGAAAGTCCACCACCCTGGCTGCAAGAATGTGATGGTTAATTTTTATGTCAACTTGACTGGGCCACAAAATGCCCAGGTAGCTGGTTAAAGATTATTTCTGAATGCATCTGTAAGGGTGTTTCCAGAAGAGATTAGCCTTTGAATTGATGGGACTGAATAAAACAGATGATCCTCCCCAATGTGGATGGTAATATCCAATCTGTTGAGGGCCTAAACAGAACAAAAAAAGTGGAGGAAAGTTAAATTGGCTCTCTGCCTAAATGCTTGAACTAAGACATCAATCTTCCGTACTCAGTGCTCCTGGTTCTCAGGCCTTCAGACACAGACTGGAATCCACAGCATTAGTTCTCCAGTACTCAGCCTTCAAACCACACCACCAGCTCTCCTGGGTCTCCAGTTTGTACAGAGCCAATCATAGGATTTCTCAGGCTCCATAATCCCATAAGCCAGTATTTTATAATAAATGTATCTCCCTTTTCCCACCCCAACCCCTAGTTTCCCTAGAGAACGCCAATACAGTGGGTAAGGAATACCTTGTAATTGCTCCCCATGTGGCCTTCACTGAGTGAGAAAAGGTATGATCACTGTGGGGGGCATGACAATCCCATCTCCTCTGGGCCTTCTCTGACATCACCCCAGCAAGGACGGAGGATTGCCTCTTTACAACATGGCTATCATAAAAGTCTAGGCTCCCCACTTAACCTTTGCTAATGCAGATGGGGCCCCATTTTGTTCCATGGTGTTTGGATATAGTAAAGCAGTTATTGCCTATAATTTTTCTGTCTTGCTAAGCTGCCCGTTTCCTGGTCCTTGGGTGAAAGAGATCAGGCTTCTGTTGGGGCTCCCCCCTCCCAACTCCCATTGGTATTTCCAGGTTGTTGGCTTCTCCAGCACCAAATCCAGGATATATTAAGCAAAAAGAGAACTCACTGTCATGTCATTTTCAGATCCCAAGATTCCTTCCCAAGTCTCCCATCTTTTCTCCACACCTCAGAGTTTCCTCATGGCTTGATAAAGCCCAATTGACTGATTTTTTTCTTGTATAGCTCATGCCTAAGTTATAGTTAAAATATCTTCGTTAAACCGAAGGTTACAAAGATTTTCTGTTTTTTCTTTCTAGAAGTTTTATAGTTCTAATTTAGTTTAACAATTAGGTCTATGATCCATTTTTATGTGAGGTAAAGTTGAGGTTATTTTTTCTGCATCTATCTAATTGTTCCAGAGCCATTCTCCATAGAATTGCTCTGGTGTCCATCTTAGTCCACTCAGGTTGCTAAAACAGAATACCATAGACTGGGGAGCTTACAAACAACAAAGAGGCTGGGAAGTCCCAGATCAAGGCACAAGCAGATTTAGTATCTCACAGGGCCCACTTCCTAATTTATAGATGACTTTTTTTCCTGTGTCCTCACATGATAGAAGGGACAAAGGAACTCCCTAGGGTTTCTTTTTTACAAGGACACTAATCCCATTCATGAGGGCTCTGCTCTCATGACCTAATTAATTGAAAGTACCCCACCTCCTAATGCCATCACCTTAGAGATTAGGATTTAACATATGACATTTAGGTGCACACATTCAGTTTAGGCAGCACCTTTTGGAAAATCAACATGTGGGTTTATTTCTGTACTGTTTTTCATATTTCATTTTCTATTCTTTCATTATTTCAAGATAACTTGGCTATCTTTATGCCAACATATCTTCTTCGTTGTATAGCTTTACAATATATCTTATAATCGTGTAGCTTGAGTCCTCCCACTTGTTTTTCTTCAAAGCTGGTCTGCCCATTCTGAGTCTTGGGCGTATCCATATAAACGTTAGAATCAATTTGCAAATTTCTACCAAAAAAGCCTGCTAGGACTTTTTAAAGATTTTATTTACTTATTTGAGAGACAGCATGAGCAGGGGGAGAAGGAGGGGAAGGAGCAGACTCCCCACTGAGCAGAGAGCCTGATGTGGGGCTCTATCCCAGGACCCTGGGATCATGACTGAGCCACCCAGGAGCCCCAGCTGGGATTTTGATTTTGATTACATTGAAATACTAATTCAGGAAGAACAGATATCTTAACAACATTGATTCTTCCAATCCATGAACACAGCCTCTCTTGCCATTACTTTGATCTTTAATTTCTCTGAGCAATGTTAGGTAGTTTTCAGTGTAAAGGTGTTCCATATCCTTTCTCAAGTTCATTCAGAAGAATTTAATATTTTTCATAGTACCGTATATGGCATTAAAATGTTTCTTCGGGCACCTGGGTGGCTCAGTTGGTTCGGCAACTGCCTTCAGCTCAGGTCATGATCCTGGAGTCCTGGGATCGAGTCCCGCATCGGGCTCCCTGCTCAGCGGGGAGTCCGCTTCTCCCTGACCCTCCCCCCTCTCATGTGCTCTCTCTCTCATTCTCGCCTTCTCAAATAAATAAATAAAATCTAAAAATAAATATAGTTTTTTCAATTTCTGATTGTTGCTAGCACATAGAAATATAATTAATGTCTGTAGATGATTTTGCATTTGTAACAGCTAAAGTGTTAATAGTTCCAGAAGCTTTTTGTAATCTCCCTCAGATTTTCTGTACAGACAAGCATGTCGTCTGTGAATAAAAACATTTTTACTTCTTTCCACTGTCTGCATTTTATTTCTTTCCCTTGCTTTATAGATATGGCTAGAACATCCAATACAACATTGGATAGTAGTGAGGTTGTAGGATAATCTTGGGGAGTACTGGACTGAGGGCCTTAGTTTTTCATTAGCTGTTGCCAAAAGGCCTCTCTCAGTTCCTTGGCACAGGGGCTGGTCCATAGGACAGCTCACAATATGGTAGCTGGCTTCCATCAGAGCAAGGAAGTGAGGGAGCAAGGAAGCAAGAGAAGGAGACAGCAAAAAAGATTGCCCAAGGTGGAAGCCAGTCTTTTTCTTACCCTAATCTCAGAAGTGACATCCCATCACCTTTTTTATTCATTAGAAACATCACTAAATCCAGCCCACACTCAAGGAAAGGAGATTACATAAGGCGGCCTGAATACCAGGAGGTGGGAATTACACAAAGGGGCCATTTTAGAGGCTCCCTACAACAAGCTCTCAATGGCCAAATCGGGGACAATTTGAGCCACTAATGGATTAAAACCAACAGAATAAAAATCCATGATCCCCTACTGATATAAACAAAACAACTGAAAAAATAAGTTTAAAAACTGGGGAGAGGAGGGGTGCCTGGCTGGCTCAGTCAGTGGAGCATACGACTCTTGATCTCGGGGTGGTGAGTTTGAGCCCCATGCTGGGTGTAAAGATTACTTAAAAAAATAAAACATAAAAATAATAAATAAATAAACAAACAAATAATAAAATGGGGGAGAAAAGATAGCTCTTCCTTACAACAGAATTCCATTTAATAAATGTAGAAGGAGTGGTGCCTGGGTGGCTCAGTCAGTTGAGCATCTGCCTTTGGCTCAGGTCATGATCCTGGAGTCCTGGGATCAAGCCCCACATCAGGCTCCCTGCTTCTCCCTCTGCCCCTCACCCCATTTGTGCACTCTTGCACACACACTCTCTCTCTCAAATAAATAAAATCTAAAAATATATATATAAATAAAAATAAAAATAAATGTAGAAAGAGAACTAGAAATAAAAGCATAGGTAAACACCACAGTGATAATTGCTGTAGGCAAGACTGTAACCTAAATAGTGGATGAAAGTGTGGTAAATAAACTTCCACATAGTCTCAGCATTTCTCCCCACAAGCTATTTGTTAATTTAAAAAGAAAAAAAATTAACTTTACAATTAAAATATCAACCTAACAAACTGATCAGACTTAATTAGTAATAAAACTTATCAATGTCATGTACCCTCTGATATGATGCACTGAGGACACAGCATCACTTCTGTAATAGTCTTGCCAAAAATGCATAACCTGAATCTCATCAATCAGAAAATCCAAACTGAGGGGCGCCTGGGTAGCTCAGTTGGTTAAACGTCTGCCTTCGGCTCAGTTCATGATCCCAGGGTCCTCGGATCGAGCCCCGCATCGGGATCCCTGCTCTGCGGGAAGCCTGCTTCTCCCTCTCCCACTCCCCCTGCTGTTCCCTCTCTCACTGTGTCTCGCTCTGGCAAATAAATAAATAAAATCTTGGAAAAAAAGTCCAAATCGAAGGACATTCAACAAAATAACTTTCCCATACTTTTTTGGGGCACCTGGGTGGCTCAGTTGTTAAGCATCTGCCTTCGGCTCAGGTCATGATCCCAGGGTCCTTGGATCGAGCCCTGCATCGGGCTCCCTGCTCCGCGGGAAGCCCGCTTCTCCCTCTCCCACTCCCCCTGCTTGTGTTCCCTCTCTCGCTGTGTCTCTCTCTGTGAAATAAAAAAAAAAAAAAAATCTTTAAAAAAAATAAATAACTTTCCCATACTTTTCAAAAATGACAAGGTCATCAAAGACAAAAAAAGACTAGAATTTCTGCAGAAGGCTAAGAGGATAAACAAATGCAACATGGCATTTTTTTATCCTATCACACAATAATTGGACAATTGATGAAATTTGAATGAAGTCTGTAAATTAGTTAATAGTTTCGTATAGGTGTTAATTTTCTGGATAAGCTAACTGTATTAGTTACGTAATATGCTGACATTAGGGTAAGCTGGGTGAGTAAACAAGAACTACATATTGTTGTTATTATATTTTAAACAGTTTTACAGGCATACAATTTATCACCTATATACATATAATTTGCACACATTTTAGCAATCACTCTCTATTCCCCCCTCAGCCCTAGGCAACCACTAATCCACTTTCTGTCTCTACAGAGCTGCCTATTCTGGACAATTGATATAAGTGGCATCATACAGTATGCAGCCTCTTGTGAGTGGTCTCTCATTTACCATGTTTCCAAGCTTCATCCATTGTTGTGTCTTGAATTGTGTCCCCCCCAAAAGATGAAGTCCTAACCCCCAGTCCTTCTGAATGGGACTTATTTGAAAATTGGGTGTCTGCAGATGGCAAGGTATGATGAGTGGGCCCCAAACGCTGGACCCCAAACTCTTGGAATCCTTATAAAAAGGAGAAATTTGGACACACAGACACACACAGGTACAATGTCAAGACGCAGGGAGAACACCGTCTGCAAGCCGAGAACGCCTGAGGTTACCAGAGGCTAGATGAGAGGCACAGCCCTTGCAGCCCTAAGGAGGAACCAACCCTGCCGAGACCTTGATTTTAGACTTCTAGCCTCCAAAACTGTGAGCCAGTAAGTTCTGCTTGGCTGCCCAGTTTGTGGTGCTTTGTCACAGCAACCCCAGCACCTAATATATCCACGTTGTAGCATACATCAGTCCTTCACTCCTTTTTACTGCCCAAAGTATTCCATCGAGTGGGTATATCACATTTTGTTTACCCCTCTGGCTAGTATGAATAATGCTACTCTAAACATTTGTGTAGAAGTTTCTGTGTGGGCATTAATTGTTTCCTTTAATTCCTCCTGGGTAAACACC